ACATAGGGGAGTTTTTGGAGCAGACTTTGAGGAGGAGGAGGAATTTCAGTAGAAAGAGGGGAGACCACTAAATCTCCCTTTACTATCCTCATTCGTTTATTTATTTGTCAAATTCCAGGTTGCCCACCTGCAACTCTAGGAAGCTTTATGAGTCATAAAATCGTTAAAATAATAGCCCAGAAAATGAACAGCAGGCATTTGGAAGAAGATTCCATGGGGAAGAGTCAGAATTTTAAAGCTTATTTAAGTGTAGACAAGATGGGAAATCATACAAATCTCTAGGGAAATACTGTTTCAGATAGTAAGCACCACAACAAAGAGGGTCTATCAAATACAACTACTTAATTAATGGGACCTAAAGCAAGCCAAATCTGTTGGATTATATGGGATGGACAGGCTTTCACTACAGATGGAAGATCATCCTTCAGATGACTAGGATTCTGCTATGTAAGTAATAGAAAGTGGGACCTTGAATTGCACCCAGAAGCTTACTAGTAACTATTATAGCCCATGGAATAGAGATGTCAAGTTTGCCTATAAGGCCACTGCACTCTGGACCAGCTGTAGCCATGGTAACCAAAACACAAGAGAAAGGACCTTCTGGTCCAGAAATGAGTCCAACTGGCAGATAGCAGCCAGTTGCTCCTTGGGTAGGAGCTGAGATTCTGTGAGGATCTCCAGATTGCATATTAAATCCAAATGGTGCAATGCAACCCCATTAAAGACCAGACATAGAAAGCCCCAGATCTAGGTGGTCCAAGAATCCATAACCACTCAGTCATGCTAGGGTTGAGCTTCAGCCTATTCCTTCCATTTAGACTTCAAAGCCCAGGACAAGATCTTGAGAGCATTGCTTGGCATACTGATGACACCTAACTCCAAACAGATGGATAATCTCTTCTAACAGTCCTATTTAGATAGTAAACAAGAAGGCTGAGAGGGTATGAAGCCTGGTAACACCTCACAAATTAAGTATCTTGGACTTGACTTTTTCTCACATCAATACCAACCAGAATCAGTAACGGAGAAAGGGAAAAAACCCCACCATAACACTGTATCTCCTATCCCCTTTTCTCCACAGCTGGAGAGCCAGGATGGTTGTAACACCCCTGTCCCAGCTCCAACATTTGCTATCTCAGTCGGCATTGTGAGAAGAGTGAAGCTGTTGTGGCTCCGTCTTGTGAGCCCCTCTTATCGGAGGAAGAAGGCTCCGAACATGAAGGAGAGGAGATGGCCAGGCCTCCCTCTCCAGGACCCTCCTCTTTGGCAATGCCTCAGGTGTCTCCCGACGGAGAAGAGATGGACCAGGAGCCAGGTGGTTCTGAGATTGGCCAGGAGCCAGGTGGTTCTGAGATTGGCCAGGAGCCAGGTGTGTCGGATAATGAGGAAGAGAAGTTGTGGCTGGATCCACGCCAGTGTAGGAGCGACAAGCGTGCACAGCAGAAAAGGAGACATGCCAGAGATTAAGCTGAGTCACTGGACCACACCCCACAGGCTATAAAAGGGTGGTGGTGGCCATTTGGACCTCTGTGATGGACAAAAGCTGAATCTCTGGCGAAGTAGTTTGCTGTGGCTTTAAACTGTGTGTATTGTTTTTTGTTTCTGTGTGCTTGGAGTAAAAGGTCTTGGCAGGCAGCTACGGAGCTGCTGCCAAGTTTCTTATCTGTGAAGTGGTGTCTGGAGAAGTCTTTAACCCTTGGCTGGCTGTTTGGGTGTGTGGGTCGGATGGGGACAGAACAGAAGCCTTGTGCATCCTTGCGAAGGGCCGACCGCTGCTCGACCAGGGAATGCCTCATTAGCAGCGGGAGAAAGAAGATGGTGGTCAGCTGGCAGCAGCCGAGGAGCAGGATGCAGTGGAGTATAGGAGGGCCAAAAGGGCAGAGATTGAGGGGGGAGATATAGGCAGATAAGGAGAGTTGAAGTGCACTGCAGTCATAAATGCAAGCAAGCTGCCAAGTGCCAGGGCATTGAAAACCAGCCATAATTACCGCTTGTTCAGTACTGTTGTAATTTTGAACAGTCACTGAATAAATGGTGATTAAGTGAGGAGTACCTGATTAAGGCCCTCATCACCTCCCCATTCCAGAGAGAAACCCTCAGAGAAACGGACCAACATATCTCAGGAAAAACTCATGCTCATTTTGAAATCCATCCAGTTTCCAGGGTAGGCACATCTCTTTGATGGGAGAGGGATCACCAGGAAACAAAAAGCAATTGGCAGGAAACAAAAAGCAATCGGAGAATGACCTGGACATGACAAAAGACCAAATATCCTCCACCCTCAAGTCGGGTTGCAACAACCTCAAGATAAAATTAGATTTAATGTGCGACCTCTGATAACTCACAGCTCTTGATTATCTGGGTCAAGTTCATGGTTATCATGAACTCCTGAACCACTCCCAATTCAATGCCATCTGGGGGCAGGTTAAAATCCGCACAGATTATCAGCCTTGGGGACTCCATTGCCAACACAGCAATGGAATCAAGCAGCTCAGACAAGCATATTGCTGCACAACAGGGAAGCTGATAAAGCAGCAACAAATCCAAATGCTTCCCACAGACTAATTTCAACTACAAAATCTCACATCTATTTTTCTGTAACACAAAGCCTCTGAAAGCTGTCAAAGCTTCCTGAGTGACAGCTGCCAACTCCTCTGTCCCAGATCACAGCTGTTGCCAGAGTAGAATACATAGGGACTCTAGGCTGCCTGCTCTTTTAAAATTCCGCCCCAGGTTCTGCCACTCCTTCTCCTACACACTTAAGATCTGAGATTAGCTAACAGTCACAACAAAAAAGAGAAAGCCCTTTACAAATGATTACCAATAACAATTTAGGGAATTTATTACCATAAATTTAAGAATTTCAACACTGAAAAGGCAGAAGTACAAAATACAGTGCCAAATTTCTCAATTCTACAGCAGTGTCTAAATCTTTCTCAACTCTCAACAAAGAGGATTAGTGGAAAAATTTAGTCTTTCATAAACATCTTGGTAAAATTTCACATAGTTCTGGTGCACAGTATCATGTTTCCAAAAATAGTATTCAAACTAGGAAATGAAAAATTACTAAAAGTGTTTGAATGATTGAAAAAGTGGACTTATCTAATCATTTAGTTGCACTGTCAACAGCAGTACTGAAAACTAAGGGAGATTTTTTTTTAATGTTTAACCTCAATATTACATTCAAAAGTTTAAAAATAACCAGCCTAAATCAGGTTTTCTATTCTATAGAACAATTACCGGTATTCACATCTTTACAAATATTTCGCCTGAAATGCGTACCTATACCAATAAAAACACAGGAACATTTACTTAAAGAAAAATGTAGGATTGTATATATTGTATAATGAAACAGTTATTAATTTAGGGTTTTTTTCCATTTAAAGTATTTTAAATGTTTTAATTTCAGACGATCCCAAAAAAGATTGGACAGCCATTTATCTAGTATGATACAAGGACTTTCGCAGTGATCCACAATTAAGAATGCACTGGATTATTTCCAAGGCAATGCTCCCCTAGTTAAACAAATGAACAAAAAAGACACCTGTGCTTTAATTATTTGGACATGACACAAAAAGCTTTGGTTACTCCTCCAAGGATTAACAAGTGGTTAATACAGGAAGTACCTTAAAAACTAACTCCTATTGTGAGAGTCTTCCTAGCATCATTTGAACATCCCTGACCCAGGATCAGTATTTTCAATTTATGGGTATACATTATAAATTTGTATAAATAAATAAAAACTGATTCATAATTTAGCAGTTGGTTTTACCTGTTACATTTACCTCATACATTAAATAGATGCCAGGCTAAGTGGGTTGGATAAATAGTGTAGTAGAAATTTATAAATTTGTGCCTGTTTCGCATGGGGGGAGGAGTTATTACCTTTGAAATATATTTATCAGTATTCAATTTGGGACAATTTATATATATGTTTCTTTTGTCCTGTTTATGCACTTTTTTGGTTTATGCACTTTGTTTAGCTTTGTTTTGTTTTTGTATTTGTTTTCTTTCTCTTTTTGGGCGGAGTTTGTATTTTAATGTTTTAAATAAAATTAAAATTGAATTAAAAAAGAAATAAAGCCTGATTCATAAAACCAGCCTTTTGCAATGTTAAACCATTTTTATCATGGCTTGTTGAATAAGCCACAACAGCCAGGTTTACACATTTCACTATGAAAGCAAATTCATCCTTCCCATTTAAAATACAGTTTTAAGTTTCAATTTAAAATTAAATTATTTTATATTAGAAAGCTACAATGTTATACTGTTGCTTGTTGTTTATAGAGATAAAAATTATTATAGAAAATTGTGCATTTATTTACTTCCATGCTTAAGCTCAATAAAATCATTATACATAGGGATGAATGCTGTATTCATTCATTTTATCATTTTATAGAATCACTGTATTGCTGAATTGCAGTTTGAGAACCTCTGCTTTACATATGAATACTTGAAGAGCCAAGTGCAATAATAAGATGATTTTATTTTTCAAAAATCAACATTTTGGGGGGCAATGTACAAACTTCAGTTTTAAACTCCTGTTTTAAAAAAACCTGAAATATTTTGGTATTTGTGCAGAGTCTGAAAGACAGCAAACTTTCATTTCATGCTCTGGCATTCTGTCATCCACTACCTTATTATTTCAACCCCATGTCTTTTATGGGTGACCAACCGAAGTTTATAGCAGATATTTAAATGAATGAATAACTTACATTCTGCAATAGCAATGACAGCAGCCCTGTTTATGACATGATTATGTACCACTGCTATGCAATCATGCCATTAACAGGTGCAGCAAAATAAGTAGAGAGGAAAATATAGCCAAAGTTCAGACTTAATTGAACTTGCAAAAAAACAACACAAAAAAGTAACCTCATCAGTTAAAGTTGCAAAATAGATTCTTTACAAAGCAAAGATAAGGGATTTCTTTCCCCATGCAGCATTACTAGGGATGTTTAAAATAATCCTAAGAACTGGCAATGGGAAAAAAGACCTACCCTGCATTGTTACTGACAGCGGTTATTCCTTTTACACCAGTCTTCAACAAAGCTCCTATGAGGTTCTCCGGAATTCCACAGAGCCCAAAACCTATGTGACACAAATTGTTTAGCAGTGAATAACTTTATTTTGAAACTATAGTTTGCCCATGCTGATCCACTGACCCAATTCTATTTCCCAATTCAGGAGAAGGCATCCTATAACCCCTGGATTTTGGAGCAGTCAAAACTTTTAGTCAATAATCAGAATAAGACACCCCATACCATAGTTTGTCATGCACAAAAGACTGGCAGAAACTCACTGATAATCAAAACCCTAGCATCTCAATGAGCTGTGAGCTGTGAAATGAAATGGGGAAAAAGAAGAAGACTTGAACCATAAATGAAAACAGAAAATATTTTCTTGGTAATATATAGAAATATTATGTACTGAAAAGTCTTGAAAGATGTTTAATACCTTGGATCTCAGTCTATTTCTACACAGATAGGACTGAAATATACATTACGTGACTGACAAAAGCTCCTATTATGAGAAATTTGGTAATTTTTGTAACCAATTTTTTTACAGGAAAAGAGGTTACCAAATTATTATAATAGATTTATTAACATTATAGGTAATCTTCATTTAGTGACCATAATTGGGACTGGCAACTTAGTCATTAAGTGAAAAATCATGTGGTCACACATCTGCTTATGATATTACTTCAGATTTCCTTTTCTTTACAAACCTGCAAAGGTTGTACATTCAGTCATGGGTCACAAAGACACCTTTTCATGACCATCATAACTGAATGGTCGCTAAGCCAAGAACTATTTGTATTCAGAATGCTCGCTGCTAACACCAATATGCTTTTCTTATATATTGAACTTTATACTGTTTTAATCTTTCTTGTAACACCTCAGCTTTCACACTAAAACAATATACTAAATTATTATCTTCCTATTTTCCAGGCTGAAGCAATCTTCTTGTTCATAAATTTGTAGAAGAAATCAAAACCATTTACAAGCAGAATGAACAATGTTTGGCAACCTTATCTGAGGCAACAATCATATGTAACTTTTGAATGTGATACCAGAAGTCACTGCCCAATAATAAGTAGGATCAGGATAAAGTTAGAAGTTAGAGCCAGAACAAAACATAAACCATGATTTTATTTCAATCAATATTTTAATGAGATAAATCAAAATTATTATTCTTCCACCTATCATATTCAAAAGACACAACTGAGTGGTGACTTCTAAAGTGACCAGTTTCTGGGATATGGCACCCATTATTTAAAATGTTTATACTCTCTGCTCTTAAGGATTTTCAGGGGGTATGAAAGCATATCTGCATTTTGGCCCATGCTGTATTTGAAACATTAAGTATTTTTTCCACCTTTATTTTACCCCAAATTATAAACAGAATAAGTATATTCAGTCTCCTTAAGCCACGCGGCTTCTACATACTTGAGCAGATCTGCAAACATAGAACACAAGGTAAAGTCTTGCTCAAGCTCTGTTGTTGCATCTGTAAGTTGGAGTTGGGGTTTTCTGTAACAGTAAGGAAGACATTTGCTATTGCTTTTTTCTGACATGTATTTTTGATTCCTTGATTTCCACTAAATCACAGGGCTGCAGACTAAGCTAAATCTATCTGAGAAAAAGACAGTGGCACAATAATCGTTTCCCAATAAAGTACTAACCAGTTCTTACTCTTAGTTTTTTTTTAATCAGCCAAAGTACTATACATACTGTACATCTAAGATGTACATAATCTAGATCAGAGGCTCCTAGCCTTTTGGGCACCAGGGACCCAGTTCCATGGACAAAGGTTTTTCCACGGACCAGAGGGGGCATGGTTTTGTGTGCTGCCTGCATCCTATGGATGGGGCTTTGGTTGTTTGCACGGACTGGTTGTTGGCTAGTTGAGGACCGGTGCTGATCCATGGACCGGGGGTTGGGGACCCTTAATCTAGATGTATGTCTTATAGAGGTATGCATGAAACATTGACAATTACAGATTTAAATACAGGCAAATCCATCAGTAAGCGAGGTGGTCACTAAGTATGAAATCACATGATTGGGACTGTGCTTTCCGATTGGAATGAGACTTTTGTACTGACTTTCACACTTTCAATTCTGTTCATCTAACTTCTCTGCCCTTTGGAATGCTCAAGTGCCTGCTTACTAACTTTTACACATCGAAAGCAATGAGATTGCAACATATCTCATAGCTGGGAGCCACAAGTGTGCTACATGAATAGCTCACTCTCTTGAAATATCTTGTTCTTCCTCTGCAACCATACCCTACCTGGGATGGTGTGGGGGCAAGGATCAGGTAAAGGAGAGACTGCTTGCAGAAATTGCTTGCTTTTTTTCCTCCCCACTTGCAGAGCAAAAAGATTAGAAACAAAGAGGTCTATACAAAGCAAGATTGTTTCATTATTTTGTATTTATTTATAAAATTTATTGACCACCCATCTTACCATAGGGTAACTCTGGGCAGCTTACAATCATAAAAGATAAACACAAATATATACTCACATAGGTATGCTACACAAACAGCTTACTCTCTTGAAATCACTTCCTCTTCAATCTCTCCACTTTGGGAAAGGGAGGGGGAAGGGATTCAGGCAAAGAAGAAATTGCCCAGAGAAAATTCTTGCTTTTTTTGTATCCCTGGCAGAGCCAAAAGATTGGAGAAGAAGAGATTTCAAGAAAATACTGTAAACTTTTTGCATAGCGTATCCACATTTCCCAGCATGATTGCATTGCTTTCAAGCAAACAGCTTACTCTCTTGAAATCTCTTTCTCTCCAATCTCTCAGCTCTGCAAAGGAAAAAAAGAAAAGAAAAACCACGGCTGAGGCATAGGACACCACATATTGGCTATAATGGAGATCACGTGACTGATGTAACTTTGAACAGTCACTAAAAGATCAGTAAATAAGAATTACCTATAATTTGAAGTGTTCTGTAACTGGAACAAAAAGAAATTGTTTAGCCTAACTATTTCTATCTGGCTTTTGTAATCAGCGTTTGCGTCAGGGACAAATTTCATGCAAGCGTGGGAAACATGTACATGGATGAGATGTACTGGAGGAGGGAATAAGGGAGTGTACAGGAATGATTGATGTTTTCCTTATGATGTAATGGCTCTGTTGTCTGATTTTCATTGGCTAACAAAGTTTATAAAGCAATGCTACTAACTTTCTAACTTCTGAACACAACGCTGCCAGTGTTCAGATTGTGTTCCCACCCAGGACTTACTTTGATCAAAAATAAAGTGCTGTTTCCTCAAGAAGCCTCTGTTTGCGTTGCCTGATTAGACTTTTAAAGGTATCTCAAATTTAAGTAAGGGCCTGGGACCTTACAGTTTATATGGAAAAAACAGTGGAATTTCACTACTTACCACCAACAAGGAGAGTGGACCCATTGGGTATATCTTTTACTGCTTCTATTGGATCAGTATAAAATTGGGTATTGTGACAGGAACTGGTTGAAAAATAGCAACCACAAGTCTAAAAGGGAAGAAAGAAAAAAAAGGTGGGAGATAAGAATGTCATGGATCCAACATTATACAGTTTATCCAAATAACAGATTTCTTGATTGTGTATACAGTACTGTATAACATATACAGATGTACATAAAGCAATTTCCACTGATCTAGAATTGCAAAGTATCCACAAAATGCTACTGGAGCTTTACAACACACTAAAACTACACATACACACACACACAAATATACACACACAAATACATACACACAAACACACACACACACACACACGTATACATAGATACGCACACTAAACATAGAATGCAGTACTCTTTTTATTGTACTAATGAATTTTAACAACCAAAAATAAAAACTACATATATGGGAAATAACAAAAAAGATCCACATAATTTAGTCTTCATTTATTATTAAATATAATAATAAAAACTACATATATGGGAAATAACAAAAAAGATCCAAATAATTTACAGTCTTTACTTATTATTAAATATAAATCAAATAGAAAATAAAATGAAATAGTTGAAGACCAAAAAGGGATCTTAAAGAACATAACTATATCATATGAGACAAAGAGCCTTACATTTCTTATGCCAATAAAAAACCTATATGGAACCACACTTAATTGGGATATATATGAAAGTTTACAGAACCCAGTGAAGTCTCAGAAATTTAAGGGACCTCAGTTACAAACAAAATCTCAGTTTCTATACATCTTGTGGGTTTACTCATGACGAGCTGTAACAGCAGCTCCTGAGTAACAAAACATCCAAACAATATAACTTGTGTGTGTGTGTGTGTGTGTGTGTGTGTATGTGTGTATATATATGAGAGAGAGAAAGACAGACAGACCAAGAGACATATTATATGTGTGTTTCAATTGAAAAAGAAAAATCATGCCAAATATATGAAATTATCATGCCAAATATATTAGATTATCAGAAAGCAAATGTCAAACACTGGAAATTGGATGGCCATCTATCCTATTTTATTAAGCAGTCAGGTACAAGGTCTCCCATCCAATTTAAAATTAAAAAATTGCAACTTGAGAAGTTGTTGATCAGCAATAAGCATCTGAGCATTTGATAGCCAAGCAAGTCATGTTCTCACATTGCATTACACCAGAATTGATTTCTTTAATTCTGTCTTAGCATGTACAATGCTAAGAGCACAGCCCTAGTGATTTGTAAACCATGATTTACGACTTACAACATATGAATCATAACTTAGCATCATACATATCTATACACGTAAATCTGTGTACATATATCTTTGCATAAAACTCCATTCTTTTGTCTGGTGGTGCATGTTTACTTTTTATAACATTGCTGGGCAGAAGTGGATAATTCTTAGCCCTCCTCTGATAAAGGAAAGACCCCAAACATGTATAATTAAAAAAATGATTCAGACATTGTACATTGCTGAGGAAAAAATTCCTTAAAATCAACAACTTCATTATAATCAACAACTGAGAACCTGTGTGTGGGACTAGGATCAGGAAAATCCAAATTTTAATGTTCTGGGTGACTTCAGGCCAGTCACTCTCTTTCAGTCCAAACGATATTTTCCTTCTTGTGAGGAAAAACAAGAGGGAAGTACTACATAGACCACTCCAAATAAAAGGAGGGACATAAATCTATTCAATCAAATAATAACCTATAGCACCCAATAAAAAAGAGCCCACTCAGACGTGAGTAGTATGTGCTACTCTCGGCACAAATTCCTGAGGGCAGCTTTCCACAATATGGAAGACTCCCTATGTTGGGATCTTAGGAGAGCCAGGAATTCTTGTTAAGATGCATCTGGAAGGCTCTACAGCAGGGGTGGGGAACGATGGCTCCTTTACGACCTGTGTAGTTCGACTCCCAGAATTCCTGAGCCAGCCATGCTCTAGAACAGGCTTTTCAACCGGTGGTACATGGCAGGTGGTACGTGGCCCTGCCCAGCCAAGTGTAGTGGGGGAGGGAATGAGCCAGCGCAGTGCAGGACTTACTGTGAGAGAGTCCTCCAGAGCTGCAGAGTGGCTGGAGCAAGGCAAAGGCCCCAGGCTCACTTCCGGCTCACCCGGATGAGAAAGGAGGAGGAGGGGGCGGAGACAGGAGAGGCTATAAAAGGAGGCAGTTTGGGCAGGAGAGGGAGAGAGAGAAAAAGAGGCAGCCTTAGGAGGAGATGGAGTCAGCTCTAACAGCACTGAAGGAAAAGGAGGAGGATGGGGGAGAGGAGAGGTGATCAAGCAGGCCGGCCACCAGCCGATCTACAACTTCTGTGGCAGCCATCCGTGCTGGCAGCAACAAACAGACAAGAAACGCAGTGGGGGAGGAGTCGCCCTCCACAAGGAATGAAGAAAGGCAGCAATAAAGAAAGGCAGCATCGGCTGGAGGTGAGACAGGGAGGGAGGGAGGGAGATGAAGAGTGGAAGGATTCTTATGTGCTTTTGTGACTCTGAAGTTCTGGCATTTGTGCTTTGTATTCTTAAGGAGTGTTTGGCAATTTCTGTTTGGCTGATGGCTGATGTCTCCTGTTAGTTTCTATTGTTCTGCTACTGTTAGCTGTAAGTTTTGCTGCAAGGGATTTTGAAGTATTTTTCTCCTGAATGGATTTTGCCTGTACCCTGTAGCATTCCTTTACTGATGAATGGAACCATTTGGGGAGGCTGCCTTAGCCGGCAGCCAGTATTTACTACATTTTTTTTTCTTCCTTAAGTGCCGGCTGCCGGCTCCTTAACTTTCCTTTCTAGCCAGTAGCTAATTCTTAAAGGGGAATGTGCCTTTTTAAGCTAGTTCACTCAGCAGCTTGTCTTTTCTGTCTCTGGAGGCGTTTCCTTGTTTGATAAATACATGGAAGAGAGAAAATATGGGGGGGATTCAAATTCTTCCTTCAGAAGAAGAAAGAGGGAGGCAGGGAAGGAGGGAGGGAAGCCCCACCTTAGCACTTAGCCCTGCCATTGACGTTGCTTGTCAAAAGGTTGCAAAAGGGGATCACATGACCCTGGGACACTGTGACCATCATAAATATGAATCAGTTGCCAAGCATCCAAATATAAATCACATGACCTTGGGTATGCTGCAATGGTCATAAGTGTGGAAAATGGTCATAAGTCATTTCAATGCAATTGCAACTTTGAACAGTTGGGGAGGTCATCAAATTTTTGACATCTTGCTAGGTGGTACTCGAATATTGCCATATCCTAAAAGTGGTACAATTGGTAAAAAGGTTGAAAAGCCCTGCTCTAGAACAGTGTTTTTCAAACTTGGCAACTTTAAGATGGGTGGACTTCAACTCCCAGAGTTCCCCAGCCACAATGGGAGTTGAGGTCCACCCATCCTAAACTTGCCAAATTTGCAAAACACTGTTATAGAGGGAGACATTTAGTCTAGGACAAAAGTAGCAAACATGGAGTTGTTTGTTAAAAGGATATTAAGAGCTTGGTTGTACATTAATTCTGTATAAAACCATCCTGAACCTGCTTGAATTGGCTTTCATATGGAAATCATCACATTAGAAGCACAATAGCCACATTCCTAGAAGGGTGCTTCCTTGGGAAAGGTTGCAATAAGGAGTTATGGTTTAATATAGCATTGCTTTCAGTACTTTTACCCTATCTAGTGTCCTTTCAACAGTTCTCATCATTCCTGCCAACATAACTAATACTTCCTCCTCATTGCCCATCCTCATTATGCCTGTTCCTTACTGGTATCACATACTTGGAATCATCTTCTCATCTTTCTTGAACAGCAAGTTATTTAACATTAAATAACACCAAGTTACCTGGTACCTCAAAACAGAAAAGTTAATTAAGAAAATTACTGATATTTCATAGGAATTGCTTGAAATGCTTTTCTCCTGAACATAAAAATCTGCTGAAATGTTGCTGAAATCTAGTGGGTAATGGCTAGCTCTTAAAAGCACCTGAACGAATATTTAAGGCAAGTAGTAACAAATCTGGGATTACTGCATAACTAACTACTCTTTAATTATTCAGAAAAAAGAAGGGTACTGCACAGCTAGAAAAACAGAAGTATTACAAATAATACTCTTGACTTAACCAAACAAATGGTCAAAAATGAGGATTTTCTTACAAGCTCAAAAAACATAACTGCAGGCTTCCGGTTTTGCGCAGCTAGCGCATCAGCCAAGGGATCGAGACGATCCGATCCCTACGGCTGATTTCTCTGTTTGGGGACCCTAAATGGACCCAAAGCCACCCCGGAGAGGTGGCAAGAAAGGAGAGAAACCCTGCCGATCCTGGGAAGACAGTGGTTGATCCGGACGTCTGGGGAAAGCCCTCCAAAAACCGACAGAAGGCTAGCGTCATTCATGAATCTAGCCCAAGCTACATGCAGCCGAAGCCAAAAAACACTAAACTAAGCATGATTGTAAACAGTGTGACTGAACTGGGTAAGAATATTGATTTCCTCTCTTCTACCTGACTGATTTCCTGAGAAAAAAAGAAAAAACCCAGAAGTAAAAATCCTCTGAAAATGAGGGGGGTGTCTTTGTTCCACCCTCCTCTAAACAGAAGTGGCAAATTAAGTTTACGGGGGGGGGGGAATTGAAAGGTGGACTGGTGCTGACAACCAGTGGTGGATGAAAATACTTCCCTAAATATACAGCCCAGAAAGAGAAGCTTGTTGTCGTGACCTTCAGGGTGTTGATTAAACAAAGAGCAGTTGGACTATCTACAAAGTGAGAACTACAAAACTTAGAAAAAATTGACCTTCCTGGATTATAAATATTTTTTAAATTGCGACTTTAAAGCGATTGGCAGATAAAGGACTTTTGGTCATTATGGAGCATCAGAGATCTGCAGAAAGAACATACCAAGAAAAAATAAATACTTACCAGGAGGAAATGTCTGTTCTATTACAACAAATGCAAATGATATTAACTTCAAACCATGAGGAAATTAAAAATGAATTTGAAAATTTAAATGAATGCGTTCTCAATTTAACATCATAACAATCAAATGATCAGAAAACAAAAAATGAGAGAGATCATGTAAAG